ACCTAAGATCCCTAGTCATGAGCCAAGACATCCTTGGGCAGCTGTCTATACAAAGACAGAACAAGACAAAAGAACAATTTCAATATAAGACAAGAAACAACAGGTATACATTATAGACAGACTGATGAAGCACAAGAAAACAATGACACAGTGGGTGCATTTACATATGCAATTAATGCACCTGAATTTTCTGCACACAACATTCAGGCTCATTAAAGGGCTCCCCAGCGCATTTCAACATGTGCATCCCCATTGGGAGCAAACTGAGCCCGACAGGAGCAGCCCAGCCCAGGTCTGCTCCTGCCCTTCTTAGTCCCCCTTCATAAGCTAGGGGGGAGCTCTAGGCTCCCCTGGGTGCCAGCCCTGGGCTAGCGGGGGTGGGGGACATGGGAGCTCAACCCTTAGCTCCAGAGGGTGGGAAAGCTGTCCCAGCTCATCAGGCAACTGCATCCCAACCAGGGGGAGATCAGGCTGGCCCTGAGCTCTAGTGGGGGAGAGGGAGGGAGCTGTTTTGGCTGGGTGGGCAGCTCCATTCCAGCCAGGGTAGCCAGGACAGCTGTACCAGCCAGGTGGAGATCAGGACAGGTCCCAATCTCCACATGGCTGGCAAGCAATATCCTGCAAGCTGGGACAGCTCTTCCTGCCTCCTATGGCCTCCTGCTGCCTAGGCTGACCAGGAGCAAATTGCTTAACAATTTGTTCAGTCTCTTGATGGTAAATGAAAGACAGTAGGTACAGTGGAGATAGATTATGAAAGATCTTCAAATTGAAGACGAGCAATTTATATTTGATAGTCACAAAAGGGGAGCCACTGAAAGAATCTTGATAGAGAAATGGCAGGTCAAAGCTATCAGCTAGGAATATCATCTTTGCAGCAGCCTCCTGATTAGCTTTGAATGGACTAAGCATATTTGCAAAGGCAGTAATTAAGGTACTTCATGAGTGTTTTAACCTGTTTGGATGGATATGAAATGCTGTATCTTACAGCAATAATGCAGTCTGCAAGATCTAGACATACCCTGGATGTGAAGGCCTACAGCAGGGGTTGGCAATATTTTTGGGCCAAGTGCTAAAAACCCCCTGCAACCTCTACTTGGAAGATGTTGGCATTCCAGGGGTGGACGGCGGGGGAGCTGCAAGGGCCCGATCCTTGTTGTGGCAGTGCAACCCTGGCCCCTTCCCTGTTGTGCTCCCTGAGGTGTGTGTGCAGCCAGTGGTGACACGTAGGGTGCATGTGCACCCCAAGAGCACTGGTGCACCCCCTATTAGGCCGTGCTCCCTGTTTAGGCAATGGGCAGGTGGGCCGGCAGGGAAGCAGGACCGCCAGCAAAAGTGGCCACACTGCTTCCAGAAGTGGTGTGGCCGCACTTTGGTGAGTGAGATCGGCCACGGGGGGACCCCCACCCCTGGTCAGTTATACTGGCCGTGAGGGAACACTTCCCCACCCCCGGTCAACGTGATCAGCTGCAAGGGACACCCCTCTCTGCCCCCTGGTGATTGGTGTTGGGGGGGCAAGACTCAAGAGGCACCAGTCACCCATGTGTGCAGCTGCTGCCAGCAACAAGCTGGGCTGGGGCTCTGGACCCCAGTGCAGCTGCTTGCAGCCTCACCACTGTTTATGCAAGCAGCCCAGGCTCTGGGCAGGCCCCTGCTGCTCACCATAGAGCCTGGGCCATTGTCAGCAGGCAGCCACATGGCTGCAAGTGGCTGCACCAGATTCTGGAGCCCCAGCCCAAAGTGTTGCCGGCAAGGGCTGCATGCACAACTCAGGGCACATGGCAGGGAAGAGGATGGGGCAGCTGAGACCTTAAATGCGGGAGGCTGCAACTGAGAGAGGAACAGATACCTAAAAAAGCATGGTCCTACCCAGTTCCCTCTCCCTTTCAGCATCTGCTCTGCCACTGTGACACACAAGACTGGGCAGGAAGAACCAATGATCTAACCCAGTAAATGGCAGTTCCTCTGTTTTTATGTAATGCCTTGCATGAGAAAGCTTGACAAACTCCATCCCAACCATGCAATGGATCCCATAAGAGAGGTCAGCCTGAGGAAACCCTGGCCTCTCTCCTGGCTTCTTTGGGCTTTTCAGAAGTTTTGAGAGCCTCTGGAGGCAACCTGCAAGGGTGAGAGACACTGGGAGGGGAAGTGGCAGGCACAGCCCTAAGGAGAGAGAAAGAGGTACTTGCTCCGTGCCACACTGTTGATTTAAAATAGCCAGGAGGGAACTTGTCGTGCCCATGGTGGCACTTTAGCAGCTGCCAGGGCAGCCTAGGTGACTGGAGGTGCCTTCCCTGGGATACGCCCAGCTTGGTGGGGTAATGGTGCTGTGATGATAGCAGCGCCTACTCCTTATGGGGTGTGAGTCCCTGGGTGCCTACTGCCTCCAGGGTGCTCTCAGGCAGGGGGCTGGCCCCCACAAGGCACTCACGATGGACCGGGCCTGGTGGAAGGTGGCTGCTGCCTGCATCCCTCCCCACAGCCGCTTCTGAATTGCATCCCACTTTTCCAGCAGTTTCTGGTTTCGCTCTGAGGGTGCCAAGAAAACCAAAATAAAAAAGGCATGGGTGGGAGTGGTGGCAGCAATGATGTGGGGATGCGGTGGCCAAGTAAGGAATGAAAAGGGGCATGGCCGGTGGACCCAAGTGGGCAGTGGTAAGTGTAGCAGCTTGTGGCCTGGACTGCATGCACGTGTGAAGGGCGGGTAGTCTCAGCAGCACTTATGGGCACGGTCCGCAGGGGCACGCATGGGGACTGCTGCGCACAGCTTCCCACTCATGCTGGCATCCGTTGCCAACCCATGGCTCCCTCCTGCAGGACAGGCAGGCTGTGCGTCACTCTAAAGTAGTGAAGCAGGGGTGGGTGAGCGCTTCAATGGCTGCTTGCAGCAAGTCTCATCCTTGGGGGTGCCGAGCCACAGCCTGACTCAGCAGTGCCTGGCCCTTCCCATGGGGCTCCTGGTCATCTGTGCTGCTGGCTTTTGCTTTTCAGCACGGGGCAGCTCCACAGCCTGGCCCTTGGCCCCGGAGCTGGCATGTGTGGAAGGAGCCAGCCCCATGGCATCTGCAGCCGAGAGTCCTCAGCCCAACCCAGCCCAGCCTGGCCCTGGGCCACTTCCCCCACACCCACATCCTGCCTCTGGTGCTACCAGCGAGGGCTGCTGGTGTGGTGTTTCCCTGTCTGCTAAATGTGGGGGGAGGAGGTAGATACCTCCACACAGCATGTGGTGAACAGGCTGCAACCACTACACCACGATCCAAAAGCCCTCGCCTGGCTCCGTGGCAACAGCAGCTGCACACATGCCTCCAGACAGACGGTAGGGGAGAGACCAGGGTTGCACTGCCCCAAGCCTCTTTCCCACCTTGCGTCTTGAGGCGTGCATGCAGTTGCTGCCACGGGTTAGGCCGGGTGTCTAGACCCTGGTTGCAGCCTGCCTGCCACAGAGCACAGGCTGCTCACAACAGGGTTTGCAGCTTCCCGGTCACCTGCTGCAAGCAGGCTGGGTTCTGTAGCTGGCGGCAGCTGCCCAGAGCCCAGGCTGGCTGTGGTGTGCCAAGCAAAATGCCCTCGTGTGCCATGATCTGGCATGTGTGCAGGGGTTGCTGACCCCTGACCTAGAGACTTCTGAATCAAAGTGGACTCTCAGATCTCCTAGCATGCAGGCCTATGTGACAGGCAATATGGTGACATTGTTTACAGTGACTGAGAATAAAGATTGGGGTGGAGATTACATCTACTAGAAGTCCAAGAGAAAGGCATTATTAAGGCAATTAAATGCCACCCTGAAAATCTGAATGCTAGCCTTTCCTTTGAAACAGAGCTTCCACCTGATATTAGACAAGTCACTTAATACAAACTTTCTGCAGGCGGCCATTAATTGTGCATTTTTCACATTCTGGGTGTTTGGCTTGAGACCCTGGGGTCTGACTTGCAGCAGTGTTATGTGTCAGCAGCTGCTATTCTATAACTTGATAGTTAGGGCCTTCTTCAAAGAAGCAGAAAATGTTGGTTTAAATCCTTCAGGGTGAGAAGAACCTACAACCCAGATCTACCGACAAAATATAGAAATAACTCTTACTACCCTTCCCCTCAGAGATAGGACTAGGCAACTGCCATTATAGGTTATAATGTTCAGCCTGAGTCAAGCACTTAAGCTCCTCAGAAGGTAGGAGTTCAGTTACAACCTTGTGCTTAGTGTTTCCTATGGGCTAGCTGTAACTTTCTGAATCTAATTTTAAAAGAAACCTGCTCCTTTTCCCATTCTCTATATATAACAGCACCTATACCTGGGCAAACTGAATAGCTTCCTGAATGGCTTGAAGTACCTCAATTTTAGGCATACCTAGGCATCTCCAGAACTTAACTGGATCAAGCCCTAAGACTTGTCCTTAACTGATGGAGCTTAACAAGTGTAAGAGTAAAGTTACATCTGTCATATGGCTACATACTACAGCAATGGACAGAGGGCTCAGAGCACATCATGGGAACAATGCTCCACCTTAGCATGTACTTCACATTGTAGCATCAACATATATGTGCATCAGCCAGCTACAAACCCGTCCTACTGGGATTTGTGGAGTGGGCAAGTACAGGCTCTCCTCCCACTGCTCTTTTGGCACTCTTTGGGAATGTATTTTGCTCTGCTGCTGCACAGGTACACTACAGGTAGATTAGCAAAGGTTCCCTGTCTTGTCATCTCTTTAGTTTACTTGGGCAGTACAAAGGATTTGGACATACAGGTCTTGTTTTGGCTTCTTAAATAGGTAAATAAATTATCAGATTACCTGATTTCTAAAATACTGAACACTACACTCTCATTCACATCACATAAAATCAGGTCTGAAATCTCTTACTTTCTATCTTTGCAGATGGTAACTATATTTCTACAAGACAATTTGTTTCTTGAAGTCAAGACAAGTAACTCTTATAAAAGATTCCACATTCCAGTTTATTTCAAATGTCAACATTAGTACTCCAAAGAAAGACTGAAGATCATGTTTGTGATAAAATTTCTTTATTAAACTAGATTTTGTTTGTAAATTCATTTTTACATAAGAAATTCTAAATGCAAATTACAAAACTGTATTCCAGTAAAAAATTAGAATAATAGTTAACAGCAAAATTACAACTTTATACACATAAAAATCCATGTTCCATTTCAAATTTAAGATAGAAATTTATATCCTCCAATGTACTGGTCCAAATAGCTTTTGCAACCGATAGCTGCAATACTGTATTTTTAATATGTGAACTTTCATAGGTACCACAGTTGGGTACTCAACACAGCTGGCTAGGTGAAACAGCAAAAATCAATTATTCTTCATTCTCCTTTTAAAGAAAAAACAAACTGTGATGCAACAGACTTGAAGGAAGTCAACGTACTATTTGATTTTCAGTGTGTTGTACTCCATCCTCTCTTCAATTCAGTAAACAAAGGAAATTAACATTTTTGAAACATGAATTACAATTGAAGATATAAGCATCAGTAAAACGAATTCTATGCATTATACATCTCAGTACATTTACAATGATCCTTTATTAATAATACCAACACTGGGACTATTCTCTCTCCACCTGCCCATGTTTTACAAAGGAGATTAGGCATCAATGTAATTACATTCCACCTCAGAGTAAAGTCTAGAATACAAGTTCTGTACAGCATGCGATGAACAACACTTTATAGTGCATGCCAATTAGAGTAATCTCTTTACAAGTTACTGTGGGGAATTGGTAACATTGTCAGATTCTGGCCTCCTGAGTAACAAAGATTTCCAGTTTCTAAATATCACAAATGCACCACTATGACTGTTTAAAATGCCCTTAACCCAGCCTTGAAATATAGTGTATGCTTAAGAGAAACTGAACCACAAACTATAAAAGAAAAAACAAAAAGTAGTATTCAAGGGTTTTTTTTTTGAAGTTTTAAAAAACCCAGTTCTGCCCTAATATCTTTTTTATAGTTTCTGGAAATCTGAAACTGAACTTTAATGCAAAAAGCACGCACACATTTTTTTTTTAAACAGAATCATGCTTTTTTTCATTGCATTGGTGGGTCTGTTACTGAAGGGTTGTTCATGAATGCTAGTCTGCTGGCATTAAGTTTCCTTTACGAAAAAATAATTTGAAAGATTTTTTTATAATTTAAAAATTAAATGAACTTTAAAAATATTATATTTTTAAACGAAAGGAATCACATTTTTGGCCTGCCAACCTCCAGAATGTTATTAATTGAAAAAATTTAAAAAAAAATAAAAAAAAATAATACATACCTATTTTAACAGTCTTCTATTACTTCAGAATGCTGGTGGTAATGCTTCTGAAAGTCTTTTTTGTGGTTGTTTTTTTTTTGTTGTTTTTACAAGTACAGTTACAAAAATGCATGGCGTTTTCTTAGTAAAAATTATATAATCAGTTTCTTTTAAAAAGCCATCATAAAGGTTGGAGGCCCATAATTTAACATATTTTAAAATACCATTTAAAATAGGCTTATTTAAAAACAGTTTCTCCCACTGTAAACTAAATATATTGGACAGTCTGAAACAAAGGCTACAAAATAATAACATTCCAGGGTTTCTTCTGGACAATATTGCAAATAATCCAAAATTTTTATTTTCTCTCTCATTATGTAATTCTCTCTCTGTTCTGCTTTTCTACTCCATTTTAGGCCCCAAATGAGAAAACATTTAAGCATGCGTCTAAAGTCTCATCAAATTTCATGAAATTAAGCACATATTTTAAAAGTTTTACTGAACAAGAGCCTTACACTTCACTTGTGCACTACTGAAGTCAATGGAAGTTTTGCCACTAACTCCAAAGGATAAAGGATATTTTTCTTATGGCTTTATATTACTACTCATTACCATTTTCAGAACCATAGTGTATAGAGCAACATACAAAAGTGTACAGGGAATTCTGCTCATAAGCACCTGAAGAACTGAGTTTTTATATTTCAGACACTGCCTATAAAAACGGCACAAAGATAAAGTAAAGGGACTAAACTGCATGCATAAATGCCCACAAACCAAAGCAGTTATTAATTACAAAGATCTATGTTCTTGACAGTGTCTTAAATGTATTTATATCATCACTCAGACGTTGCTTAGAATTACTAGAGAAACATAACTGTATCTGCCGAACTATGACAATTTCACTTTTATATTTATAGTACTCTTTAGTAACTGTGCGCGTATGTATGCATTCATAAATTGTAGAGTTGGAAGGGACCACAATGGATCATTGTGCCCGACCCCCTGCCCCTGGCAGCATTACATTACATGAATATAAAAATATTCTGAAAACATAAAATCTTTCAGTTTAAATTAGTTACTTGTCATCATAAGGACAAATTATCAAAAGGACCTCTACATATGTGAGCACATCTTTACTCAAACTAAATCCTTGCTTGCTTTTATTTGTGGAAACAAATGAAACTTGTACATGACCCATTAATATGCAAGTGACATACATATGGTAGTATGTATGGATTCCAGTATTTGTGGGTACACAAAGGCACACTGCTTTAAATTTACCAAAATAGTAATTTAAAAACATTTAAAATATTTCACATCATTGTTTCTACTGTTTCTCTCAACTACTCTGAAAACAAGACTTCATATAAAAAATTTTAAAAGGTAAAGCATACTGCAAGATATCTTTGTGTTCTTTTTTTTCTTGAAATAAAATGCTCTGTTTATTGAAAAACATTTATTAAAGTACAGCGGGATTTTCTTATGTTATTTCTAAGTACATTTTCTGGATGATATGGCACTAATAATGCCAAAGGATTGATTTCTGTACTCCCAAATTTTAAAATTAACCAACTGCCACTCTAATATTTGTTTTAATTTTGAAAATGTGTTTGAAATACCTGGTGGTATAACAGTGATGATGTAGCCATGTTGGTCCAGAAATTGTGTGGGAGGCAAGGATTTCTTACGGTGATCTCTTTTATTGGACCAATTGTGTAGTTGGGATAAAGTTAAACAAGCTTTTGAATGCAAGGCATATTTTGCTTTCAAAAGCTTGTCTAACTTTATCTGAATTACACTGTTGGTCCAATAAAAGATATCACCTTAAGAAATGCCTCTTGCATTTTGAAATGCCCTGCAGTTAAAAACATCATATTCTCTGCAGAGGAAGTGCCAATATATTTATTATATTGTATCTTGATTTATTTAAACACAAAGAATGGAAATACATCATCAATAAAACTTCATTAAAATGAAAAAGTACTCATATACTCAGTTTGAAAATTCATAAAAGACTAAACACTGCTCACTGTGTATATTGCTATTCAGCAAAATGGGTGATTTTCCTGTAAAATATTAATATAGTCACACAGGAACAGTTGAGAATGAGGGTTCTTTTTCCACCCCATTAAGAACTAAGGTGAGTTTGCAAATTTTCCTTACTTAATTCATGCCCCATTCTGAGTCCTCACTCAGATGTAGCTTCCATTCAGAATTTTGTATGAATAAACACAGAAGAACTGGCTCATGTTCTTCAGAATCTACCACTGAAAAGACCAGAGCCAGAATTTTCAAATGAACTCTATGTGGAGGCACCTATTTCCCACTGGTTATTATTTCTGTGGGTATTGGCGACATAGTTCCCCCTCACACTCTTTGAAACCCAAAATTCTAATTCAGAGTAAACTATTTTAAACAAGTTAAAATTGTACAAGTTACTGCATGTATTTTAAAAAGTACTGCATCCACAACCATTAAAATGTACAGGGTCAGAGATAATCTTAGGCCCCAGCTGTACTGAGAAGGATGAGGTGCTTGAAAATGGCACCTTGATTTCCCTTTAAAAATCTCTTATGTACATTTATGTGTTCCAAGTCTGCATTTCTGATAAATGCTACTCTTTGGGATTACAAAAAAGATATATTTCACTATTAAAACTTTCTTGGAAACATGCTGTAAAAACCAACTGTTATAAAACAGCTACTAAAATACTATTCTTTGAAGAAAATTAAATTATATTTTCTGTAGTTGTTTAAAGTTTCTAGCTGTGTTACGTATCCTCAGTTTTCACACTCTCCTTCATACCACCTTTTTACTTCAACATGACTTTCAGGCAGCCTGGTTTGATTTCAGTGAACCTGGGAAACAACAAGAGAATAAATTACCTTCCATATCTAAACCAAGTACAGCATCACATTTCTTAGCCAAAATCAAACAAAGTATCTCATCCCAAACTAGAAACACATATTTTCTGAAGTGAAAAAATAAAGACAATTTATCTTCTACATTAGTGAAGAAGGGCTTCATATGGGATGCTTGTGGCATGGTCAGTGAGCAGTAAAATCAGAAGGTTCTTTAGAGCTGTTGTGGGGAAAAAAAAAAGTGTTGCCCAATCCTTCTCCCTTCTATTTGCTGAACTTTTGTCTGACCTCCTCTCCTCTTTTCCTCTTCTTGTTTCTCCAATATCTTCTCTCATATGTCAATCTTCCCCTCGGCTTTCTTTAACCTCACTCTCCCATCTCCCCCTCACTTCTTTTGCCACATTAACTGTAAGCCCTGTCTTCATACTTACTTCTAGGTTCTATCCCAGAAGGAACTGAGCAGAACCACTGATGCCCTGTAGTGTTAAGATCAGGGTTTGTGCCCTAGTTCCAGGGGTGGGGAGCAGGAGTCTTACCCGACACAGACCAAGGCTGCTGCTGCTTTTGCTACCATCACTGTGTGTTCTGCCTATCCCAGCTCTTGCTCTGAAAGCAGAAGCAGTGCGGTGTCTATGCATCGAATGCTGCTGCAAGAGCAATCCTGCGTGACTGCTCTTACTGCTGGACCTCAGGCTCCGCAGGAATGAGGGATGATTTTGGTGCCCCTCCTAAGTCGCCACTTGGGGCTCATGCTGCCCCTAGCTAAGCTATTGCTGAGACCGATCCAGCCTTCAACATATGTTGGCAGTGCAGCTGAGATGCATGTAGTGTCTCTTATTGAGGCAATACCAGTTTCCAACTCCACCAACATGTGGAAGCTTTATGTAGGACAGGTGCCAGCACTCTACAAACCAGTGGTGATGCATAGGGGTACACCAGGGTGTACATGCACCCCCTGACTGGTCGCACTCGCTGCTTAGGCAATGGGCAGGGGGTGCAGGCGGGAGTGCCGGTGTGATTGGCCACAGGGGGACCCCCCACCCAGTCAGCAAAATTGGCTGCAGGGGGATCCTCCCTCGGTCACTGACTGGTCGTTGGGGGGGCACATGCCCCCCCTGACTAAGGCAGCACCAGTTGCCCATGCTACAGACCTTATATAAGTTGAGAAGGGGATAGTCTCATGGGGCACATCCCAATGAGTGCACACATGCAGGGACGCAAGTTTCCCATGGGACAAATAGCAGCGGCACATAATTGTGGCACTGCTATTTGTTCCCAGGCACACCCCTGCATGCACACTCTGACACGCAACTAATTGACCCAGGTTGGGTAGCCTTACCTGGGGTCCTGGGGGCCTCTTGGGGCAACAGCAGTGCCAAGCCAGTCACTCAGAGCCTGGCTAGCAGCTAGACTATGGCACTGGCTGGACAGGCTCCATTTCTGGCAGTACACGCACTTTTTTGGCACCGGGATCTCCCAGTGTCAAAAAAACCCACCGTGTTGCTAATTTACAGTGTGGTTTGCAGCACCTCACCTGGGTTTAAGGTGGCGCAAACCACACGTGCACACTTGTTGGGACATGCCCGTAGCACTCATCCAGTCTATAATTAGTTTCAACAACTCAGCTGTCCACTGGGTTCATTAAGATAGCTAAGCCGATAAGTTTTACCAAGAGTCAGGGCAAAACACTATTCATTTGTTGAACAGAAAGGAATAGATCCAGGAAAAGTTGATACATTCACAGTTTTTGACCACGATCACAACCTAATATACAAAGCACTTGCAGAAGCTTATACATTGTCCTCATTTTGCTACCTCTGCCAAGCAAAGTGGTGTCAATACCCAACACCCTCCTCAGAATAGGTGCTATGCATGCATCCACTGCCTTACAACATGGAATATCTGTTTGGAACCACCAGAGAAGACTCTGTAATCATTAAGGGGAAACATTTTGGACCACTAGATGAAGCAGTCAGGGAAGCTTCTTTGCTATAGGTAAGAAGGTAAATTGCCAGAAAACAAACAAAAAGCCCCCACACTGCATAAGGGAAACCTGCAGCTCAAAACAAGGTGTGCAGGACTATCGGGGAAGCAAACAGCTCTTACTAGTGTCCTAAATGACATCTGTTGGACAACAGCTGAACTGATGATGTATGAGCTTCACCACTTGGACTGAGGAAACAGGAATAGCAACAAAGTATGCAAATATGATTTTACAAGATGTCATATAAATCTAGCTTTTACAACGATATTTTGTTTTAACAAAGAACCATTAAGAATTCTATCTGGAAACAAATGGATTAAGAAATGCACTTTATGGCAATTCAACCTTACAAATACCAGCATAGAATCATAGTAAACATTCATTTGTATATACAATCTTGATTTAACAACATAAATTAAAATACTGATTGAAGGATAATGCCTCATTTTGAAAATGAAACAGAATAGATAGTACCATTAACTTTAAATAATCAGAAATGTCACAGATCCAGAATGGAAATAATTCCAAATGAATCTAGTTAATTTTTATTTTACAATAACATGTTGACTATCATTCATTAATCTGCTGAACATAAAGCTGGTTACATATCTAAATGAAAAATATTAATCATGTGCTAATAATGCCTTTTAAACATTGTCTATGGAAGCTGCTTCCAATGCAACTCAAACAATTCAGGAATATGGTAAAACACTTTCACAGTGGTGGTGTTATCTGTATTAGAATGAGTAGGATCACCAGCCCCCAGATCCCATTGTGTTAGGTTCTCTACAAGCTCACAGTATGTCAGCCCCCTTTCCCAGAAAGTCTACATACAGTTCAATGATAAGACAGAGGGGGGTACAAACAGTGTGATGGGTAGTTCAAGGAAATAAAAAGAAAATATTGGTCAACATGATAATAGGTAAGCGCATCAGAATCTTATTGTTAAGTTTTCCGCAGACATTATGATAAAGGAGAGAGTTTTACTGAGGCACTTTCAAGATCTGAAGAAGGATGAAGTAGCTTTGTGGTTGCTTATGTTTAGCAACTCCAAAAGGATGCAGAGCAACACAAAAGAATGCATGAAGGTGCTTGTGTGAAAATCTACAAATGAGCAACGGACTTTGGCATCAGATCAGAGGTTAGGGGCTTGACTTCTTGATATATGAAAGAAGATGAGGGGAAATAGGCTGTGAAGAGCTCTGAAACTGAAGACAAGTAGCTTATGTTTGATGTAACAGAGAAGATAGATTAGATAAGTATCTTAAGGTTTGATGTGACAGAGATATTGCTTCTACTAGCTAACTACAATGCCGAAAGAGAAAGAGAAACAAGCAATGGTCAATATGGCTTCACAAGAGACTGCTCAAAGATTTGAGGTTAAAAATAATCTGCATGGAGAATACAAAAAGGGGGAAGCATCCAGCAAAGTCAGAATTAGTTATTACCATACGGGGAGGGTGGGGGGGAGGATTAGCATTAGCCACTGTGGTAAAGGAAGATAAGCAGGGTTTCTATCATGTTATCATCAGAAAAAGAAAGACTATTAAAAAAAAAAAAGAACAAATTATTGTCAGATGCTGAATTCCTTTCTGAAATCTGGCTTCATCACATAAGTCAGTTATGAATTAGAATGTTAAAAAGATTTTGTAAAGTAACTTTTGTTAAAGAGTAGATAAGGAAATACATTGAAAATTTGATCATATACAAATGAGCTAAACCTGGTAAATCTCAGTTGGAATAAACTAATGAACTACATATTATTGAACCACTGACAACAAAAGGAGTGACAGAGATGTGACAATATCAAAGAGCTGAAAGAACAAATATGGCATAGATCTTCAGAAAGAGAATATATGATACTGGTAACTACCATCCTGTAAAATGAACTTAAAAATACTAATGCAACAGAAATAAAAAAGGAGGGAGGGAATCGCAAAATATCAATGAAAGGACTTTTCCAAAATGCTCAGAATTAGCCAAACTCTGGTTCCTTGATGCCAATGAGAGCAAAGTTAGGCCAACACCAAAACATTTCTGAAAATCCAAGCACGTGTGATAATATAGTCACAAGTAAGTGACAACATGAGTTTTTAGAGTGAAAATCTTGACAAATTTAGATAAATTACAACGTGTTAGGTTGGCAAAAGAGGTGTCTAGAACGGCACCACAGAGACACTGGTGTAATAACATTCATTTTCAATGTCATCTGATAAGAAAACAGGCCAATACAATATTTGAAAAGATACAAAGGTATCACATCACATCACATCACAGAGGTGGTAATGGTCATTCATCTAGCTATGATCTGACTTTAACTTGTAATGAACTATCCATAAAAGTGAAATTTTCAAGTAACATAATGGCATAATGGATGGAGTTTAGAGATTTGGAGAAATTGATTTATGAAGAAAGATTAAAAGGAAAATATATATAGCTTAGCTAACTGACAGGATGTAGTCATGGTAACAATCTACACATGAAGGTACAAACAGAAGCAAAAACTATTAACAGTACAATAGAATAAACAAACAAGGGGGAACGGGGTGAAATTAAGAAAGAGAAAATTGTAATCTGAAAATCAAGAACATCAGCTAACAGTGAGATACATCAGACTGAGCAATTATCAAATATGGTGTATATGCTTAATTGCATGGATATTCGCAATTAAGTCTTGTCTACATCCAGCTCTCTCAGAGGCTTCAAATGATGGCCTAGGACTGGTGTCGTTTGACACTAGATGCTACCTATAATTGCAGCTCTAGTATGTACCAGGCACAGGGCGGGGTTTAACCACTTTGTACAGATAATATGTTTAAAACAGATAACAGAGTCAATAATAATAAACTCAAAAGGCAAAGTGGTAAAAATGCTGGAACCCAGTCTATGCTAGTTACCTCAGTGTGATCACTGAGGTAATTAATACTGATAATGGGACAAGACACTAAAACATTTACAATCAGCAAAACCACTGTGTTGGAAACCCGGGTAAGTATTTTTGTATCGTATTTCCACAATGATTCAAGATAATCCTAGAAAAAATATTATAAATTTGAAAAGTAAGCTAAGTGTGTAAAGTATCTGATGCGTCTATGTAGATTTTCTATTTTTCTTAGCCACATAGCACAACTCAACTTGTGTTCAAAGTATTTCTTTCTTTTCTCAGTCTGGTAATACTAAATGGAAATGGATAGACAAACTATGCTTAAAAGAACAGAATTCTGTTTGCCTGTCAAAGGACAAAATGACAGAACAAAACTGTATTAAAACTTCGCTCATGGGATGTTTTTGGTGTGATTTATTAAATCATTTTAATAATGGTATCATATTTTAAAACAAACTTCAGTGTTTAACTAGTTAAATGTAGGTTCAAAATATCAGCAACAGAAATCTAAGCTCACCTGAAGTTGTGGCTTGTGAGGTATTTAATGGCTGCTGGTTTGATACGAGCAACTCCTCCCTGGCTATGGCTTCCTCTTCCCGTGATCACACAGAGATAGGGTTTACCACCAGTCTGCTTGTACTCTGTTACAGCA